CCCCAAAACCCCAAAACCCCAAAACCCCAAAACCCCGGGCCTCAATTTAACGATTGATAAAATTCAAAGTGCAGTATTCTCCACAAATATTTGCATTTCCAAAATGTAATAGTAGCACCTGTGACTCCAGCGACGACGCCAGCTCAAGTCCATAGGCCTAACCACAAAGAGTACTGCAGATTAGCTTCTCCAGCAATTGCGTAGGAGATAAAGTTGGCTGCGGCAGAGTACATCACCATAAATACTGAAGTGGAGGAAGCTACGAAGGGAGGATAGCCTATAATCAACAGCATTGGTAGGTATATTACCCCACCCCCAACTCCGATGATCGATGCAATGCACCCTGAGAGGACTGAAATCCGACAATTGCCACAATTTTCTTGTTATTGAATTGTACCTCGCCTTTTGGCAGATTTTCACCATAAACTTTCTTCTGAGCCTCCATATACAAGTTGGAAACCAGATTGAATAGGTTTAAAGCAGTCAGAAAACTTCTGGTAATGGCTGGCAAAGGCATGTCTGATTTTGACTAGTTTGTTTCATAGGTATGGACACTTTTTTACAGTCTGCATAAAACTTCTTTGTTAATATTTTCGGATTTTTATGAATGCGATGACCAATGCTAATCCTCAACACAAAACGTATGCCTTATAAATACCCCAGTAAGTCAAGCTACATTCCTTGATTTCAAAGAGGCCACTATCTCTTATGATGGCCTGGCCTATCAGTGCAGCTAAGACTAGCCAGATCGGAATGAGTTTACCGAATTGCCAGTGGCTTATCTCTTTCATTTCAAACTATCTCAGATTAGATATTCAGCAAAATGTGGGTTTTAAGGCGAAACTTTTTGTGAGAAAAACAAGCATCGAATCTTACCCCAATTAGGTGAGTAATCTGGAAATTGCTGTTGCCCTCTTGAGATTCCTCCTCAGTCGGTCTAGAAATGATAAATATTAGGTCTTACTCTTCCTCGGCTTTTTCTTCAGACTCTTTACTTCCAGATCGTAATACCTTTCTTAATGCTCTCAAACACTTAATAGACGAGGACAGCAGTGAGCAAGACTTCTTGGAGCAGATTGGGCATTAACTTATGCAGCATGTGTCCAAGACTGGCGCCAAAGAAGATTGCTGGCAACAGGATCATCGCAGCATTGTAATCAATAGGTACTTTGTTCCTGTGAGGATGTTTCTTCCTGTAGTTTATGATAAACCTAGTGATGCCTGCCATCATGATGCAACACTGAGATATGGGAGATGCTTCTTTTTGGGCAAACCCAAAGCAAATCTTGATAATTGGTACGATTATCTCTCCTCCGCCAATTCCAGCGGCTATTGATAAGGACATCAGAATAGCCATGATTACAATTCCGAAGTAATCGAATGGAGCTAGTGGGAACAAATCGTCTCTTTCTCACTCCTGCTTGCAGGTATTTCAGTGATATCTATCGTTACAGTCTTGATTAGTTTGACAGACTGTTTCATTAGCTGCTACAAGAGTAGCTAAAAGTAAAATTCAGAGGGCTAATGACCATTTTGATCTTCCTCTATTATTTAAGTTCTTCCCTGTGATCATATATTTAGTTTGCCAATTGTGCATTCTTTATAAGGGGTTTTGGGGTTTTGGGGTTTTGGGGTTTTGGGG